CCCCAAAATGGGGGGGGGGGCTCTGGTGTACCCCAAAATGGGGTTAGCTTCGTGCATGGCCTAAAGTGGGGTGCACCCCAAAAATAGGGCTACCCCCAGCTAGCTGCACCCCCAAAGCAAGGGTGTTGTCCCCCCCCAGCAGCACCCCAAACCAGACCTCACCCAGCCAGGACCCCAAACCGGGGTGTCATCCTTTGGGACTCCCCCTTTTTCCTTCTTCCCCCGCAGGTGGTGAGGGCTTTGGGGTGTGCCTGGCACCCCGAGCACTTTGTCTGCGCCCGCTGTGGGGGGGAGCTGGGGGGCGGCAGCTTCTTCGAGAAGGACGGGGTGCCCTACTGCCCACGGGACTACGGACGGCTCTTCTCCCCTCGCTGTGCCCGCTGCACCCAGCCCATCCTCGATGTGGGTCAGGGGGACCCCTTGGGGGGCCCTGGGGGCAAGGGGACCTTCTGGGGAGCTCTGGGAGCAGTGGGACCCCCTTGGGTGCAATGGGACCTTATGGGGTGCTCTGGAGGGCTCTTGAGGTGGTGAGACCTTCTGGGGGGCCCTGGGACCTTCTGGGGGGCCCTGGGGTCCTTTTGGGGTGCCCTGGGGGCGGTGAAACCTTCTGGGAGGGCCTGGGGGGGTGGTGAGACCTTCTGGGGGGCAGTGGGAGGCTTGTGGGGTGTGGTGGGACCCCCCGGGGGGCCCTGGGCCAGTGGGACCCCCTTGGGTGTAGTGGGACCTTGTGGGGTGCAGTGGGGTGTCCTGGGAGCAGTGGGACCTTCTGGGGGGCCATGGGACCACCGTGGGATGCAGTGGGACTTTGTGGGGTGCCCTGGGGGTGGTGGGACTCCCTGGAGTGCAGTGGGACCCCATGGGGTGCAGTGGGACCCCCGGGGGGGGGGCTGGAAGTGACATCCCCATCTCCCCCTGCCACGCAGAAAATGGTGACGGCACTGGACAAGAACTGGCACCCGGAGCACTTCTGCTGCGTCAAGTGCGGGCAGCCCTTCGGCGAGGAGGGTGGGTGGCCCCTGTGTGTCCCCCGTGTCCGCCCCTGTGTCCCCTCCCTGTCCTCCCAGATTGCCTTGCGTTCCCCCATGGCCCCCTGTGTCCGTGCCCTGTCCTGCTGTCCCACCGTGTCCCGATCCCATCCATGCTCATGTGTCCCCACATCTCACCATCCCCATGCGGGTCCCATCACCATCCCCACATCCCCAGATCTCTCCTTCTCCACCTTGGCCTCACCACCACGGCCGTATCCCCACATCTCACCATCCCCACATCTGTCTCTCCCATGTCCCCGTGTCCCCACGCCTCCCTGTCCCTGCACCGTCCCACCGCACCATCCCCGTGGTGTCCCCCAGGCTTCCTGGAGAAGGATGGCCAGCAGTACTGCCGCCAGGACTTTGCCGAGCTCTTCTCCAGCCGGTGCCGGGGTTGCGGGCGGCCCATCCTGGAGGGCTACATCGCCGCCCTCGAGGGGCTCTGGCACCCCGAGTGCTTCGTCTGCCGGGTGAGACCCCCGCCACCCCCATGTTCCCACATCCCCTGGCCCCTGATGTCCCCACAACCCCGTGTCCCATCCCCAGAAGCACTTCACATCCCACATCCCCACCTCCCCTGGTCCCTGATGTCCCCATGTCTCCATGTCCCATCCCCAGAAGCACTTCACATCTCACATCCCCACCTCCCCTGGTCCCTGATGTCCCCATGTCCCTGTCTCCCATCCCCAGGAGCGCTTCACAACCCACATCCCCACCTCCCCAGGTCCCTGATGTTCCCATCCCCATGTCCCATCCCCACCTCCCCGGTCCCTGATGTCCCCACGTCCCCACGTCCCACCTCCAGGAGCACTTCACAACCCACATCCCCACCTCCCCTGGTCCCTGATGTTCCCATCCCCATGTCCCATCCCCACCTCCCTGGTCCCTGATGTCCCCACGTCCCCACGTCCCCACGTCCCACCTCCAGGAGCACTTCACAACCCACATCCCCACCTCCCCTGGTCCCTGATGTTCCCATCCCCATGTCCCATCCCCACCTCCCTGGTCCCTGATGTCCCCACGTCCCCACGTCCCCACGTCCCACCTCCAGGAGCACTTCACAACCCACATCCCCACCTCCCCTGGTCCCTGATGTTCCCATCCCCATGTCCCATCCCCACCTCCCTGGTCCCTGATGTCCCCACGTCCCCACGTCCCCACGTCCCACCTCCAGGAGCACTTCACAACCCACATCCCCACCTCCCCTGGTCCCTGATGTTCCCATCCCCATGTCCCATCCCCACCTCCCTGGTCCCTGATGTCCCCACGTCCCCACGTCCCCACGTCCCACCTCCAGGAGCACTTCACAACCCACATCCCCACCTCCCCTGGTCCCTGATGTTCCCATCCCCATGTCCCATCCCCACCTCCCCGGTCCCTGATGTCCCCACGTCCCCACGTCCCACCTCCAGGAGCACTTCACAACCCACATCCCCACCTCCCCTGGTCCCTGATGTTCCCATCCCTGTGTCCCTGTCCCCAGGAGTGCTTCGCGCCCTTCGTGGGGGGCAGCTTCTTCGAGGATGGTGGCCACCCCTACTGTGAGCGGCACTTCCACGCCCGGCGGGGCTCGCTGTGCCGGGGCTGCGGGGAACCCATTGCCGGCCGGTGCGTCACCGCCATGGCCCAACGCTTCCACCCCGAGCACTTTGTCTGCGCCTTCTGCCTCCGGCCCCTCTCCAAGGGCACCTTCCAGGAGCAGGAGGGCAAGCCCTACTGCCAGCCATGCTTCCTCCGCCTCTTCCGG